AATTAATTAAAGATATTCCATTGTAAAATTAATTATATACACCGTTCACTTAAAATAAATAGTAAAATCGTTTTCTAAGGTTTTCATTAACATACAAAAACATAAGACACTTAAATTTTGACACTAACTATTTTTTCGGGACAAAAATGATAATCTTTGCAATCCGCTGAAAACGAAATATCTGCTACAAAACTATTCGCCTTCCCCGCTAAAATACTCATCATAGAACCCGTGCTGCCATATATCTTGGAAGAATGGATTTCAAAGAATATTCCTGCTAAGCATTGGTAGAATATTCCTGCTATGTTGGTGCGGTAGTTAGAAGAAGGGGGTGTCAGCTCAGGTGTCGTCCACGTCCCTTGACCATGGTTCAAAATTACGTGGTCCGTTGCCAAAAGCCCTCGTGTAGCTGAACAGTGTGACGTTAATATTCACTCACTCACTCCAAAAAATACAGTACAGTAGTTATAATTATTTTTATACTTAAAAATGTAATATCTGCCTATTCAATTAAAATTATAGCGTTATAATATTAACTATTAACCACAAACAGATTTTGAAAATTTGTCCAAATGATGTAGAGCGAAAGAGAAAGTTTATTTACTTTAAGTACCAGAAGCGATAAAAGTATTTATTTTGAAAAAAGGATCGATTTCTTACTACCAAATGTGCATAATAAAATCATTAAAAAAATATTCACCTCTCTCCCTTCAAAATTTAGTTTTATTCTGAAATAAAAAAAATTAGGGGTTATGCTGTTTACAGGAATAAATTAGAAGCGAGCGCCTTGCGTAGCCAAAACAAAAAGGGTTTCTTCACAAATAAAATATAGATATATGCTGTTGTGGGCTTTTTTGCAGCGTTTTGGCAGAATTTTTTCCTACTTACTTGACAAATATCGTTATATTTTGGACACTTCACACAATATCTTTATAAATTATAGTCTATGCTATAAATTATAGCCTATGTGTAATTCTGATGTATAAGCTATATTACTGTAAAGTTTCATTAAAATCCATTCAGTTGTTTTTGCGTGAAAGACGACTAAACATTTACACAAACTTTCGCATTTATCTAGATTACATTTAAAGCCATTAGAATATCAATTTGAAAAATGAGTTAAAGAGTTGAGTTTAAAAATTATACCTTCTGCAAATCTCGATTTCAGCAACAACATAAAAATGAAATTAATTTTTAAGAAGTCAAATCATCATAAACATATCAAAACAAAACTTTTAATATCAATGTAAATATAGCAGTTTATTGTCTATGTACAAGTCTCATCAAAAAACAAAATGCACTTTTCAACTGTATAAGTTTCTTTCCCGCATGCACAGTACATCAACCGAGAAACAAACTTTCAGACATGTCAGTTAGTAGAACTATTTAAAAGTTGGCATCCTTCGTTACTTTCGTTTTGGCATGACAAATCACATTTAATTTAATTAATCAGCTTATAATATCATTAACATAATCATTATCCTAAACACATTAAATTTAAATTTTACAAGTTATCTGTTCATAAGTTTTCCAAAACAATATTTTTTTCCTGAGTGGATTTCTTTAGTTATTTTTCTGTATTTTTGTTTTGTTTTGTTTTTTTGTTCCGAATGGACCGACATTTTCTTTTTCTTCTTAATATTGAAATTATTCTCTTTCACACAAATTCTACTATCAATCTGTTACAGAAACAATTACGAGTTGAAAATTATAGCAAGCTGACTTAATGCTATAATTAAATAATTATAATTTCCAAAAGATTTACAAGACAATATAAAATTTGTCCACCAAAAGATAAGTTAACTCCAACATTTAATTTTCAAAAGTTACATCTATACTTATAACATGAGATCACATCACAACAATAAAACGTCACGATTATTTTCATATTTTTTTTTAAGCCATAATTAAATTTCTCAAAAAAATCTTGGTTTACCATTTATTTTTTGTAGCTCCAAAATTGACGAAATATCTTAAAGACGTTGAATTACTTTGTACTATATTTTAACTACGCCGATTAAGATAAAAGTACTTCAACTGAGATCAGTAACATTTTCACATCAGAAGAAACAAAAATCCATTAACTTTTTTAATAAATGTTATTCTAAAATAAAAAAAGCTAATAATTTTTTCATTTACCTTCATATTCCTCTATTCAGATCAGATCAGATATAATCAAATCAAAATAATCTACATAAAATGTGTGTTTCATTTCGAACTGGTTTTTTTCCTTTCACTAATAGTGGAATCAGATATAAAAATATTACGTATGTGTAAAATATAAGCGCAGAAAATTAAATTCCGACGAAA